AGAAACATTCTTCAAATAAATCACACAATTTATCACCACATTGTGATTGCTAGCCATTTTCAAACTTTTCACTTGTTCACGCAGACACAATTTATGGCAAAATGACTGTTGTGCACAACAATACTTCTTTGCAAAGCATTCGAAATTGACTGGAATAAAAGAAGAAGATAACAAAAAAAAAAAACAACAACGAAGCGATAAACATTGGAATACTACGAATATTTGTTATTTACCAGAGAGCACTGTGTCATTTTATGACTTTATGAGAGAGAGAAGTTTTCAGCTTCTGTTTGCGTTTGAATTACATGTATAAAACACACAGTATACGTAAATATTCCTTTAAAGCTTATCGCCTTTACTTTCTATATGCATGACGAGATAATACAAAACGAAAAATATTGTTGAACGTGTTTATTACAGCTCTGACGTACTTTTGCAAAAATGTTTCCATATACTGCCCCGTGTGGATGCGTTGTGGGTGGTCGGTATTCATTTTTATTCTCATACCAATAAGTTTGGTCGAACTATTTCCAATCATGTGACGAACGTCCTGGATAATGCATTTTTGCTGCAGCAAATCCAATTGTATTATAAAATGGGATTCAATGAAATAGAAGTTATTCAAATAAATGGAATGCATGGAAGGAACATAAAATTAGAATAACATTGCCATGACTAAAAATTGCTAAAAATAAATGTGTAACCAAAATAAACCGGTCTTTGCAAAAAACTTAAAAGAAAATCGATGTATTCCACTTATTTTCAGTCAAGTTGAAAGCTAAGCAAATATTGATGAAAAGTGTCCAAGTCACTCAATTGCATATCCGCAGCATTCAGTTCAATTGAGTGGATTTTCAATATCCAATCTTATGACATGATTTGAAGTTTTGGACTTTGTGTTGAATACTCGGTTGTTCCATGACGGTTTATGATGAACGATGTAAATGTTACAATTTCCTGCTCACAATCAAGTACATGCATACCCAAACTCGTATGTAAATCGAACACATACAATAAGTAACTTGAGCTACATTTGTCGTACGTCATATTCGAGTGTGTGGCTTTGTAGTCATTCTCGGCTTTAGGTTTCCACAAGGGATTTTTTTTGCTTTTATCATGATTGATATGAGCTCGAATCAAGGCAAAAAAACAAACAAACAGACGTTCGTGATCAATTTGGCATTTTCAGAGATTTTTTGATGAAAGCACCACAAAACAACCTGTTTTGGAGATTATGTAACATTGAATCAATGATGCCAGTCAAAATTCATGAAAATTTGCTGTCGTTTTTTTGTTCTATCGTTTTTGTTCGCTGCAGAATGTATTGAATCAGATTGGTTTATTGGCGAGCGGCATTCAATTCGATCGATAAAAAAACATTATTTTATTATGTGACAAGTTGAAACGGTTTTGCATTGTTGACCTCAATCAGCATATTATATATTTACATGCATACTTATTGGAAATTCTCAAATTGCTCTGAAAATCTGATTAAATCTGTGCACCGAGCAGTTGTATTAATTTAATTACATTTGTTTAATATGATAATCATATCGATTTTGTCAATTGCATTGGGACCAAAATCACCATTTCCATTATATTCTTTCGATTTGGCCAAATGAGCGGAACCAAATTATTTGGTTACCATGCTAAAATTTAATGATTCATTCAATGCATACGACACTCAATCAAATTCATCACAGATATATTCATGCAATCAAATATTATATTGTTTATTCACAATGTGGGATCATCATATTACACGGATTCGTCAAGCAGCATATTTTTTTTCAAAGAAGACATATGATTGAAGTCTACTCAGACGTATTAGTATGCATTGTGATAATGCTTTACATGGTAATGCTTACATACTTTTATAAAAACCAATGGTCACATAAAAACCGGAAAAAGAAAACCAAATTATATGAAAACCATCTCGTCCACAGAATTGTCGCTGTACTCAACACACGTAATTTGACTTCATGAATATTTACTTCCATGACCAACAAATTCATACCGCATATAATGAAATGGAGTTTGTACGGCAATAGAATAACACTTATGTCAAATGTTATCGAAAATCGCTTGACATCATTTGAAATGAAAATTACGGCAATTTTCTCAATGACATTTTTTTATGTTGGATTGATTGCCTATCACGATTCGTCATTATTGCAACTTGATTCCCTGACTTTTGATATCGACATAATGAGTTGTGACTTATCTTTAAATGATAACATCAACAGCAATAATGACAAAAACCCAGCGAAGACAGATTCTCCAGGCTGCGCCGTTGTCGATGTTCTATTTTTCGAACACGATCGAAATAGCGCAGTAGCTCTTTTCTCGCCTTTTTGCCATTTTCAACGTCATCCATGCGATAAAGGTGCACATGATAAATACACCGAATACTGTATTAATTCACATACTGAAATTGTATTTATTTAAAATAACATTTTTATCGAATTAAAGGAGAAGGTGAAGTCTCACATAAGACTCACTCTTTTCCAACCAATATCAAAATTTGTATGACTCGATTCTTAACTCGAAAACTTTAACGAGATTTGCGAGAAATATCTGTGTGTGAGTGTTCGGTGAGAGAAATTTTGGTTTTCCATCAATCCTCATCATTTGAAATATGAGCTTTAACAATGCAATAATCCATAGTGCATGGAAATAACAATGAACGAAAAAAAATGACGTTTGCACAATTTTAAATTTCAAATAAAGCCATCAGAAAATACCGACTCATCTGAAAATGTTTCAAGATAAAAGAAAATTTGCATACGCTCTTCTGCCCGTCAACGAAAAACTGCGAGCTCAACAAAAAATTGACACAATTTGAAATTCATGCACTGAACTTGCGTGCTGATATACACAAAATAGTATGCATCAACGTCATTCAAACCAAAGGAAATGTAAAAGTCGTTCATGAATAATGCCCGAGCAAAATGAGTTGGAACGAGAGGAGGAGAATTTAGTTTTTGTGTCGCTTTCACCTTTTGTTCTAATATAGATACTATTCTATGCATATACAAAGTGCACATATGGATCTATTTTCTCTCTTTTGTCGTCATCGTCCATTTTGCACACAAAAAAACACACACATTTCTATCGACAAAGTGTGCAATCTGAAGAAAGATGATGACAAGGTAATGAAACATTCAGCGCATTTGCACAGAATGAAATGAATGCAGCATGCAATTAATGCTGAGTTTCCGGAAGCATTTTTCAGAGATTTTTTGTTTGTTTGTTTGTATTATCATTGTGAAAATGTCCATACCATGCAAATTAGTTTGTTTTTCATTTAATTGTACATTTTTGCTGTTGAATTATTTTTGTCTGAAATTCAACACATCACCAAACTTAAAACGTATTTGCTGCAACGGAAACATAATTTGACTGGAAAATCTGGAGAGATCAAGTTAGACAGACGTATGTGATTTGATTTATAACATGGTTTGAATTTTCATTTCATGCTATGATGAGAACCCGCAACATTGTCGTTTTTATAGTGGTTTACTTGTTTGAAGATTAATATCAAATAAACGCATCCACACCGATATACAATATATTTGCAATATTCGGTCTGTTGCTTACCGACTTGGTTATTTGATATTTGTTTAACATGATTTTCGGAAAATATGTGTATGTTGTCTGAAAACAACAGTATAACAAGTGGAAAATCAAAGAAATTTTATATGATTGTTAACTCAAAATCAACAGAGAAGCTTTGGCAATAGAAATAGAGAAAGAGAGAGAATACGCTGACGATAAAGTTAAAAAGGTGACAAAAGGCATAACAATTCTTAAATAGAATTGAAATGGCTGGCATCTAATGCCGTTTTGAACATAAATAATGCCAAATGTTGACGAACGTGACTCGGGACGGAAAATCGGTTTGAATTTTCACAAGAGGTACGAGTGTATTTTGTTGAAAAGATGTTTTGAACCAGATTGGCTCGGATGGACATTGTGCGAATACTGTCTGTGTTCTGCATAACTTACGGAATCTTATAAACTGGATGAAATTGATGAAGTCACAGCTGTTTCACTGCTCCCAAACAACACAACCAGCCATTGTCTCTGTTTGCATCATAATTTCTTTCCAATTGTCGCATGAAATTTATTTCTCGGTCTCGGCCATAAACCGCAACAAGCGTTTGTGACAAGAACAATGTGGTATGTGTTTTATGTGTCATGGCTATTGTCACACATCCAAAGTGCATGCACACACAGAGAAACACACATTTTCTTTGGAAGCGATATTCTCTCTTAACTGTCCCTGACGTGATTAATTGCCTTGTAAAAGTTGATTGCATTGATCTATTGGTAATCAAGTGGATAAATGAAACATCTTTTACTCGTTCATAAACATAAAAAAATGAATTTCATCGTGAGCATGCCGCGCGCAAAACCCATCAAATTACATTATCTGTTGCATATTAATTTGCATTCGTCAAACCGCCAAGTGCAGCAGCGAAAATCGGCACGGCTCGCGTTCAATGTTAAGAAGTTTCTGATTTTGCAATTCTTGTCGGGCGACGATAACAGCAAACACTTTTGTATAGTTAACTGTAGCAACAATTTTTGTGGCATTAAGTTTTCTACGTGGTGAGAACGAGAATGAGAATCCATGTCTAAGTGCTCATGAGCTCATTTCGAAAAAGGGAAGGAAACGACATCGATTTTCTACACATTGTTTCCAAGTGAATCCATTTCGAACAGAACTTGTTCGGCTGCAGAAAGTTTGAGTGGCGAAGTGCACATTTTGAAAGTAAAGAAACCGAACTGTGAGCCAATTTCATTTTCTTCGAATAACTTTTTTTTAATCCAATGTAAGAGGATTTTCGTTCGTACTGTGATACTTAAATGATATGTTTTATTGATGAATGTAATAAGAAATTTCAATGTTTATAAGAATTCAACCACCATTTCTCATTGTTTTATCGATTTTTCATATGCTCGAATCATATTTTTTTCCATCTCCCATTTTCTAGCTTCAAGACAAATACGAAGACGATTACCTTATGCTGGTCATTTAATGACGCCACGTCGTTTGTGGTTGAATAAAATACCAACCTTGTGTGATGTTGTTATTGAATTTCCAGGTAATTTATATTAAACTTCACATAACATCCGAAGAAAATTGATTTTTTTTTATTTGTTCTTTCGCTCAATTTGATAAACTTTGTGAATCGTTTTTCCCATGAGGAAAATTGCATTCATAAAATTATTTTATAGCACCACATTTTGAAACTTATTAAACGACAATATCAGTTTATGAAGTGCAATTAATGTGGATTTTGTACTTTTATTTGATTGCATGCTCTTAATTGTATGTAATTATATCGAAAAAGAGTATAACAAATTACTCTTCTTCTTTTTTTTCTTCACACTTGAATATTGTACAAATGAAATTTGGCTGCACTGCGGTGTCGCTTCGGCAAATGAATGAACAAACAAACGAAAAAAAATAAATAATAAATAAATGAAGGCGACGCACCTGACGAGGCATTAAGATGGCTATTATCACGTATTCGAGCACAGCCACCCATCGGGTTGGGTCTACAGACAACGGTTAAAGCACACGAAAGTACAAAACGTACGGCATTCTATGTATCAGCTCCAACAAACATGTACGTATTCATTTGATATCATATACATTTTGTTCCATGGTGCGCTAGCCAAACAATATTCATGAAACATAAATGAGCTAAATTAATTGAATGATTGGTTGCTTTGCTGGCCGCGTTGCACTTATCTTCCGATGCGATATACATAGCACGGATAGCAAATTATGCTTAACATTTAATGATAATAATTGTTTGCTATTTTGTGTTTGTGTGTGATTTTTCTTCCTTTTTTTCATCCAATTAAGATTGTATAAGGCTGCTGAAGAAGCTCGTCTTCCGAAACGATTGAGATCCGATTTGGGTGGAACGTTACGTGAATTTACGTCACGTGAATGTCATTGTTTTGCTCAAATTAAAAATCAAGATGGAACGGCTGCATTGTTTACATCACAAGAAAGACAGTGGCTTGTAACAGTAGTTTTGCAAGGTCTACGGGCTGGTACAAATGATTTGACAGTATTACAGGGGAGAGCTGGTGTCGAAGAAGGACAAAGCATAAGTAATTGCGATAAAGTAAATATCCAAATGTAAATTAATTAATCTGAATATTTATTCGGTAGTCGCGGCCTGGCAACAAAGTGGTTTGATTTATCAAATTTTTCCATTACACGAAACAAGCGCCTTAAATAGTTTGCAATTAAATTGGGTTCGAAAATTGTTCAGTGCACAACCATTGGACGATATTGCCGAATATTTTGGTGTTAAAGTTGCACTGTATTTTGCATGGCTCGGACACTATACGTGCGCATTGGGCGTTCCGGCAATATTTGGTACAATTCTATGGGCTGCATTATACAATAGCGGACAAGTGGCTCAAGATATTGGTCATGTGATATTTTCGCTCTTCAATGTTGCATGGGCATCATTATATTTGGAAGCGTGGCGCCGTTACTCCGTTGAATTGGCATTTCGATGGGGCACATTGTCAACGCCACCAGATTTATTAGAACCACCACGACCATTATATAAAGTAAGTTTGATTTCAACAAATTTAGTGTATAAAAGTTTTACATACCGAGTGATGTTATTTAATTATACGTGTTCAACAAATTTTCGGGATTAAGATGTATGAATAAAAAGATGGAGAAAAGAGAAAAGGAGTTTGTGCTTAAACTGGTGTAAAATTGTTCGTTTTTTTAGGGTAAATTAGAAGTGAGTTCAGTGACTGGACGACTGGAACCGAAAGAAGCGCCAGCATGGCAGCGTCTTGCATTTCGTTATCTAGTGAGTTTTCCAATTATCGGTCTATGCTTGGCATTAGTGTTCGCTGTGATGTTTGTCATGCTACAACTTCAGGTACGTAGAAAAAAAAAAGAAAATCAATTTTCCACTCCCCACATTCAACTCACACATTTTTGTGCTTAAATCCCCATACTATATCTATCCGCTTTATTCGTGTTCATGCTCATTTAGTCTATGCATCGAGATCATTTCATGCATTTCTTAAGCTACAGCATTGTTACATTTTGTGATTACATAGTCGGTAATGCGGTGTAGCATTTATTTTTCAAAAGTTTTCATAAATTTTGTATTATACTCATTCAATGTATATTTTTAAAATGAACAAACCCTAGTACACACACACATTTCGGACAAATCAAATTATTTGTTGAAATGCTTGGCCTTAATTTAGCAAAACATCAAATATGGTTTGCGATATGTTTTTTTTTCTCATTTTTATTCATTTTGGTTCACAACACAACACAATTTGTTTTTTTGTATATTCGAAACAGGATTGGCTTGATCATCATATTCCATTTAATGGAGTTTGGAATTGCATGTGCATGGCACATCAGGTTTAGTTTATTTTTTTTTATCATTCCCACTGAGTCATTTTCATGTTTGTCCTTATTGTTTAATGGATTTGTAAGCGCAATTCAAGTGCTATGACATTCAATGTTACTGTTTAGCAGACGATTCTAGACACTGTTAGCTTTCATTCAGAGTTTTATTTCTTAAATTTTATAATAATAACATATAGCCTGTGTCTAACAGTATAAAGTAACATCTCATCATTTCTGTTCATTTAGAAAATCGTCTTTTTTTGTTTTTATCTTGGAGTTCCATAATGATGACAACAAAACATTGATTCAATGTTTTTTTTTTTTCATTTTTTGTCCCCGTTCTATTTGATGACGTTTTAGGATTGGGCCGATGCCAAACTACCTGAAAAGGGTTTATTCAGTTGCCTAAGCGTGATACCAAAAGTTTTACTAGCAGGCGCGATAACACTAATGGACGAAGCTTATTTTAAATTAGCCGTTTGGCTTAATGACAGAGGTTGGTTTTTTTCTTTCTTTCTTTTTCCACTTTTTTTATTCATTTCGATTGCAAATAAGCAAAGTAATTTCCCGTTCATTTCACTTGCACATTATTGACCGCATTCTAATCATACTCAATATTTTTTTTCCACTTGTAATTGGCAACGTTAAATGAAACAAAAAACACCCACACAACCGCCACCATTACAGAGAATTATCGCCTTCAATCGAAATACGAAAATCATCTGATTGCGAAGGTGGCTCTGTTCCAGTTTGTGAACTCGTTTCTATCGTTGTTCTACATTGCATTTTACTTGCGTGATCAAGACAAATTGAAGGAGCAACTTGCCGGTTTATTAATATCTCGACAAATCATCGGAAATTTACGTGAGTCTGTGTTTCCGTACTTTATGGAACAGTTGAAACTTGCAAAACTGAGCTTCGTTATGTGGGGAGCATTGAGTCCAACACAAGAAACAGCCGAACCAATCAGTACCGATACCAAGGTAACTTTTATACTACTTTTGTCTAACATAATTTATGTTGGTGAATATTTAACATTCATACAAATGGTAGCAGTATAACAATCAAGCGGATTTGGTTTCTTTTTTCAACTAAATCATTTGAAATAAATAGAAAAATGACGATATAAAGGAAACCAACAACACATCAACTTCAACACCTGGTTCTGGCACCCCAAAGCGAACAATTGGTCAAGCTGAAATTGAAAGTTCATATTATAAATACGATGGCACATTTTCCGATCACTTGGAAATGCTTGTTCAAATGGGTTATGTTGTTTTATTTTCGGCTGCATTTCCATTGGCTGGCGTTTGTGCATTGGCAAATAATTTATTGGAAATTCGTTCGGATGCATTCAAATTGGTGCATGTACATCAACGACCATTTGGTCAACGTGTCGCAAATATTGGTACATGGCAAACGGCACTCAGCTTTTTGAGTTTGGCAGCTGTGATTGTGAATTGTGCTCTAATCGGTTTATCGGGACAAGTTTCGCGTTTATGGCCTGGTTTAACTGCAGCACAAACAATAATATTAATCGTTGCATTGGAGCATGTAATGCTTGGTTTGCGATCAGCATTAACATGGATATTACCTGAATTACCGACGTGGCTTGCGGCTGAAATTGCACGAGCCGAACACTGTCGACATGAGATGCAAGTCAAAGGAACATCACCACGACAAACGCCACCAACACCACTGTCAACGGCATCCGTTTCACGGCCAAATGATGATCAAGAAGATACACCGCCCGATACAGAGCTCAATTATCCACTAGATGAAGAGATTACATTTACACCAATCAGCCCAAGAATGGCATACAATGATCGTGATATTATCAATTTGAACATTGAAGCCGATGTTTGCATCAACGAAGCAATTAACAAAGAATTTACACCAGATTCACCAGTTGTTCAGGTTTAAACCATTTTTAATCGTTAATCGACCAATTTTCACGCATTTTATTCGTTTACATTGCAGCAATTGCATAAACCATCATTTGAATCGAACACTAGAGTATCGATGCAGAATTTGCGACTAGAAATTCCCCCATATGCTGGGTAAGTTTACAATATTCCAAACATATTCTCTATTGAACGATAAATCAGCTTATGCTAACGAATCTATGAAGCTATGCAAACCAATTTTTGACGCATTTTAGCCAAAAACCGCATCCTGACAGTGTTTTTTTTCTTTAAATATGGAAATTGCAATGCAAAATACATTTTTGTAGAACTGCTAACCAGTTTATGAAAGCCAAACTGCTACTGTCAATTTGGCAACAACTAGTTGGAATGATAATGAATTTATCGAAATGAAATGTGTGTCTTTTTCTCTTCTGCTTTGTTTTTGTTGCTGTAACAATGGACCCACATCGGATCTTGACATATACTATATATATCTCATTTGTTTTTTTAAAGCGTTATTAAAACTGATGTTGGATAACACCGTTTATACAACTACTTTACAATTCTCTGATAAAAATATAATCTGTTTTGATTTATTTTCTCTTACAATGACGAAAACAAATAAAAACAAACAATTTAGCGCATGTAAAAATTGCAAGCAGATCATGAAATTCGAAATGCCACCATTTATCAAATTTGGCGGAAATAGAAATGCAAAAATGCACGCTTTACCAACAGGGTAATCTTTTTTTTTCGTTTTCTATTCTGATTTTTTCGTTTTATTCTCGTTTTTCTTCTATTTTCCGTACAAAAAAAGTTGAATTTAAAAAATATATGTTACATGTAATGCATGTCAGTGGTTAGATATTTGACGTTGATGTATTATTCCGGCGCCCTCCTTTTAAAAAAGTTAACTTAGAGGGAAAAATGTATCCATTGTAAAAAAAAAATCAATAAATGTTGTGCGTGTCGAATATATAAAACCAGTTGGCAATTATTTTCAATGTTTGCTAACAGTTTTTACTCTTTGCATGTTAATTTTAACAAGAACTTTATCGATCATAATAATATTGATTGAAGTAGAACGTTTTTGCGTAAATGTTTGCTTAATTAAATGTTAGTTCGTGCATAATAGTGATACGTCATTCAATTTCATGATGTAACAACTAAAATTGACCCAATTTTTATTTGAAAAATAATATAGGCCATCAACAAGCGCCTCATTTCGAGTGTCATCGCAGCCGATGAAAATATTGGAAATTCCTCCATATCGAAAAAATCAATTAAATCAAAATCCGACAGCTATAGTAAATCCATCGCCGCCACGCATACCAGAAATACCAGCATTCAAAACGAGAAAATCAAATGATTGGCAGCCAACACCAATGGACAATAGTAATCAAGAATTCCAGCAATTGCACATACCAGCACCACTGAATTCAGATCTAGTGCGTCGCTTGAAGAATTCGGAATCGACCGTTCATCGAAGTCATGATTGCATTGTGGCCGGTAGCAAAGATGAAAATATTACCAAAGTCGATTCAGCAATGAAAGTGGCACCATCATGGACAAATGTTGCACAAAGATCCGAATCAATATCAAGCACAACGGGTGCCGTTCAATCCATTGGTTCAAAGAAGTCCTCTATCGATGACGAAACAAAAGGTATACATTTAATTCAATCGTCATTTTCATTAATTTACCCAATATGTACACACAATTTTATATTAATTTGCGATATAAATAAATGCATCGCTTTGAATAACACGATTCATATTTGTTCGGGGTACAAAAGAAATTCTTATGATCGATTTGTGTGAATATCATCAATTCTGTGAATTATTAGGCCAGAAACGACAAACGTTAAATACAAAACGCAAACGAAGATTGAAGTGCAGACGTAATACAAATGATAGCAATGACAGCAAAACGTCTGTTTATACAAAACCAAATCGATCCTTTGTTGAACTATTTTGCTTAGGCCGGGTTAAAGGTTCGTAATGGACATGTGTGTGTGCATTTCTTCTTCTCCCCTTTGTTTTCAATGAATGTGTATGTAAGTGTGAATGCAATTTAAAACACAATGAAACACATCATCCATATAAAAAATTTGAAATTCTTGCACACCATCACCATTGCGTAACATCATTAATTGTTGAACAAAAAAAAAATATGTCCACTCATCATTCATTATACTATTTATTATGTGTGGTTAATTAATATGTCAGCAAATTATATTTCAGTAAGTGTTCGTATCCTTTGTTCTTTTGATGACACCTTTGGAAATTAATTGTAACTTTAAATTGTGTAAATAATATGGTTTTTGAAATTTGTAGGTATTAATTGGTCTCTGTCTTTAGTTTTTTCTCCACAAATCGAGTGTAAATCACACTAATTTCTTTGAAAACTCATTGAATTCCAATTGAAATCCACTGTCATCTGTTTATGTTACACTTTTTGATGTTTTCGGATTTGTTGCCGTATATCAACCAATACTAATTCAACCCATAACAGTTGCAATTTTAACCCATTTCGAAGCCTAATTTTCATTTTTTCTCTGTGGAAAAAAATATATTGAAAAATATTAATTTCTTTCTTATTATCTTGGACAGCTGCGGAATTGGCGGCGAAGAAGTCTCGTGTCAAACAGAGTTTAATCAAACGCGCCCGATCTGTAGCAATATTCTCTCTAAAACTGAAAGAACGTCGAGCTCGAGAAGCTGAAAAGCAAGCCTACAATCTGGCTGAACAAGAAAAAGTGAGTTGAAATTTCCGATTTGAAGAGAACAACTGAAGAACGACTAAATTATTTGAATTGATTTATCATTTTAGGTGCTTAATCCCCAGCCACCTGGAGGAGAATTGGATCTAATCGGAATCGAGCAACTCATTCAAATTGACGATCTTCAAAATAACAAATAAACTGAATGGTGACAACAAAAATATAAATGAAGAAATAAAAGATTATTCGCAAGCAAGACCAGTAACGTGCACTTTTAGACGCTGTAGACAGACAAAGCATAGAGCATGATCAGCGGTCAAATAAATCTGCGGATGCAATTAGAGTCTAAAAATAATAATATGTGAAATGTATCAAAGCCAATAGAGAACAAACATGATGTGCAAAATTATATATACAGAGAGTAGAAAACTCATTGTAATTTAATCAGGGCTTCATAGCAACTTCACGTTTATTTTCATGTCAACGCCATCTAAAGCTATACTTAGAAAAAAACCACTTAATCACATGAAAATTGCTTGAATTTAGAGCATTCCATTTGCGTTGCAAAAAAAATCTTTAGCTTTTTTGAAAATGATTTATAGCCAACTATTAAAAAGCATTCAATGATAGAAATAGAGTTCATGAAACATCAAATACTCATCGATAATTCCGTGAATTATTAAAAAAAAAATCATCGAACAAATTAGGTAATATTTTAACAATTATAAATGCAAGAGATATCTAAATATTCTAGACCAAAGCAAAGAATGAAATATTGTGCCTGCTTTTTGAAAAGTCTACGGATACAATGAAGATAAAAACACAAAAGCAATGCTGTCCAGAGTATGAAAATATTGCATTGGGACATTTTTGTAACGAAAAAAAAACACTCTAAAAATACTTGAAAAATGAAAAAAGCTTCTATTAACAATTTCAATATACAATTGTGAGCAATACTGTTTCATTCAATCAAACCAATTCGATTAATTTATTCGAGTGCAAATAGAAAAGTACAACAAACACACGTCCAATATAAATTAGCTGCGGTGAACTTTGCTCGCATCCGAACCATTTTCAAAATGTCAATGAAAAATGATCCGTTGTCCGAAATATTTATGTGAAAATTAATACCACATCAAACAAAGTTAGATCAAGTTCATATTTGTTGTAAAAAAATCTGATCATTAGCCGTGTGTTTTATTTTATGAGACCACTCCCATTCACTTGAAGACGTCAAAACGTTGACCTTTTATTTTATCAACTCTCAAAATCCACTTCATTTCATTTAATTTGAACGTTTTTATTTGTTGCGCCGTGACTGTTAATCAAATTTTATACTTTTGCTTGACATTATTGACAATGACCAACATTTGAATATTCAATTCATGACGATCGCACACACAGCGAATGCAAAATTGAATTTCACCAAAAACAAATAAAAAATTTCCACTTTTCTAAAAAATTCTACATGATCATAAATAAATCATGTAAAGAGTTCCAAAAATATACCTAATAAAAATGTTGAATAATCGAGTAATGGCGCAGCATGAAATAATAAAGGCAATAAGGCATATAGAGAAAAACACAGATCTGCAAATAAATCAAAACCTAATCAAATAAATCTCTCATTTTATACAAATAGTTAGCGGTGCACATAAACATTTAAATTTCTCTGAATTTAGGGAAAAATAAATCAAAATAATTTACAATAAAATGAATGACTAATAATTGAATAAAATAGGCCTATGGGAAATATATCATCAATTGTTAGACATTCACACATATACATTTGTTATTCTTTTTTTTTGTTCATTTTAAAAGAAAGTACATCTGTCTCCGAATAATTTTCACAAAGTTAAAATAAACTGTGAACAAAAAAATAAAAAATTCATCGATATACTGTGTTGAAGATAAATTAAACTATTCAATGTGATCGACAAGAAAAGACAATGGAAGATCTCTATATAGAAAATCTGTGTGTAAAAGTAGAAATTTACTGCAATTTATTCAAAAAGTAAGGAAAAACATAAAGGAAATTAAACAACGGTTATTATAATTGTAATTTTGCAACGATCACTTTATATGTAAATTCTACACGTACAGAACTGTCACTCGCTCAGAGCATGATTGCCATTGAATTGGTTTTTTTTGTTGAATTCACTTTATATCTCTGTCTTCTTTGTGCTACAAATTATAGATTGTTTTGCTCAGGAATTTTTCTTTTCTGATTTCGTACAAAAAAAATACTAATATTTTGTTTCAAATAGAAAATTGATAAAAACAAAATCTATATTGAAAGTTTCAATTTGAAACATTGTTGAATGCATGCAAAAGAAATTTTAATTGATTTTCTATTTATTTGATCATTTTCAATGCATTGGCTTCAAAGTGATCTAATTACAGCTTAAGACCGAGAATTGATGTATAATTGAATTGCACCGAAGATATTATTTACATTATTATCGTATTTGCATGTGATTTTCTACGTTTTCCATTTGATTCATTTAATTTGCGTCATTTTTCCACTTACACTTCATTCGCAATATATACTATTTGTTGTTCGTCTTCTTTGACTCGCAAATCTTTTGCAAATTGTCTTCTACTATATATTTTTATATCGAAAATGATAAAATTTTATGTTAGTACGACTTCCTTGTGACATAAGATCCCCGAAAAATTGTTGAATGTTAAATGTTACGACAAAAAAAGCACAGTTATTCTAAATGCAAACGAAATTGTGTACTTACTGTATTTACCAAGTTGTTTGTTTATTTGTTTTGAGTTTTTGTAGTAATTGATGAAAAATAATAAATCAGAAATATTAAAATACCAATAAATGTGAATTGTTTTCATTTTATTTTTTTGATCACTCTCAGCAGTATAATTGTTATCATTTTTATGGCAGTAGAGATTTCCGAAGTAGCATTTTATTATTGATTCCTTAACGGCCCATATAATATTGAAGAATTATTGTGCGCGGCCACAATTCAAAACACTTCAGAAATTTGTTTTGATCCATTTAATAATCTAAAACGGCGACATTAAATTACCATAATCAACATTGATCATCATTAAATTGTCATCCACCGCACAGTCAATTAAGCACGCGATCAATGTTGTATATTTGTTTAATTTTCTTGTTTGTGACAAGTCTTGCACACATACCGACGATATTAACGAACAATTTATTATCCGGAGACTTTCATTTTATTTATTACTGCTAATAGCTTGGTCGTTCAGGTGCTGCACACCGATTGTGGAACGGTTATGCCACAAAAATAAATTCATCAATCAAATACAAATCGAATTACGACTGAGTGAGATGAGAGACAGAAGAAAAAAAAAGTGAAAAGAATGCGATGCAGTAGGAGAGATGCGGAGGAAAAAAAATGTCCGATTTCGCCGTCGTTTATTTCTCATATAAAGATGAAAATAATCGATAAAAAAAATACAAAAAATGTGTTACAAATAGCGTGAACATATTCACGAGGCATGTTCATCATCTGCAATAGGTGGCCGATGTATGAATGAAATTGATGTAAAAAGAAGAAATGTTATGGAAATCGAAGACAAGCATCGAATATATACATGCATTTAAGCGCACTACGAATGAAAAAGTGGCAATCGATACGGCTTTCAAGACAAAAACAACGAAGTATTAATGAATCAGAAGCAAACGTTGTACACGCACGACCATCGAACGAAAGATAAAACGCTTGAAATATTTTGACGCTGTATAAAATGTTGTTGTGCGATGCATTTACAACACTTGATCAACAACGGATAGAGCGATATACACAGAAGAGAAAGAAAAAAGAGAGAAAATCAAGCAGATAACCTGCAGAAAAGAATATAATAATAATCAAAGTAAAGTGTATGAGAAAAAAGTGTGATTGGCTTCCTTGAAAACAAGTTCCCTTTTTCCATTAGACATGACACATACTATATACCCATACAATCAACACAGTCAGTCGAGCCAGCAAAATGTTTATACTGATTATTATGCACCGATAGAGTCAATGTGCAATAAAAATTGATGATCTTATTCGATTGCTTTCGATACCGAGTGTGCTTTAGGTGCGATTAAGTCATGTTATTACTTGAATTCGAAGACATAAATATTCATGCACAAGCGACAGAGCGGAGGAAGACATGAAGAGAATGAGAATGATACAATCACAGCACCATGATGGTCAACTAAATTTGAACCGTCAGCTAAAATGACCGTGTCACTCGTTTGGCATACGACCATTAATAAAGTATAGAAATGTGTGCTCAAGAAGACACATAAATGATTTAAAGAATCTGCTGTCATTGGCGTTGCGAGAGCGTGCAAAGGCACGGGCACAACATTCAAACCATGATACAAATTTTATACACACATCTCGACTCTGGTTATAATAATCTATATAAGCAAATCGTACTCGATCAAACGTTAAGTTCTGTTTTTGATTCTTCCTGAACTTCTTTCCTGTTTACTTCTGTTTTTTTTCTGCTCATCTGCACTACTGTGATATCGATAGCTACCGTTAAAACAGCACAATTAAGAAATATGGTTATTACAACTTGTTAACGCCACTATGCAACCGTTTAAGGCACAATTCACTGCTTGTTGCCTTGTTTTTTTTTTTTATTTCGCTCACTTCAATATTTGCACATTGAATGATTGACTGCCGTAGACTTTTTTTCTGAACGCGCTCTGTTGTGCGCGTCGTTTAATCATCGGCTCTTTCCTGTTTCTTAAATGTGCCGTTTTAATCGGATTCAAGAATATTTACCATTTTAGGCTTGTGTACGTTCCGTTTTGTCTGCGGACAGCGAACACTTACTTCACTCATTCTCTCTTTTATCTACTTATCTCTCGTTGCACAATGCACCTAATGCATATATTCAAATTGAGCAGGGGAAGAATAAGAAGAAAAAAAACAGTAGCAAATAACAGAAATTATCAATATCCCGTCAAAGGAAGCTATTAAACTGTGCTGAATGAATAACTTTGTACTGTAGATGTACAGGTACACACAAACCACTTTTTTCTTTGTTTACTTGCGCGTGCATCGGATATCCACCCATTTGTCATCATTAACAGGTTTTTGCGGTTAAACTTTTTTTTTTGCATCGACTTTCGATGTAGCTTCGAGAATCAATGTCAATTTCCACAATTGTGAATGATGACAAAATGTCATAAATGAAACCAAAATTCATGGAACACCTGACTATTTTCAGAAGTCACTTATCAATACCAATAAGAGATTCTCAGGAAAAGATAGAATTTTTAGCCATTCCCATAGAAGAAGAAGAAATGTGATGGAAAGTAAAAAGAAGAAGAAAAGTTAAAATACGAAATATATTTTATTAAAAAAATAATAACCTCTACAGGTAACACCGAAGCAAATAAAAGAATTTTCGGTTCCAATTAAAATGTGAATTTATTGTTTTATGAACAAAAAAAGAGTTAGGTTTGCCAAATTTTATTAATCACTTAATTTCAACAGGTTTTTGAAAGAAGCCGGTGTTAAATATCGTCAGTTCATATACGCAAAGCAGGCAAAGTTGAAACATTTCGGTTAGATTCACATTCAATCTTTGGAAATTGATAAAAATCTATTGTTATCTTGTTGATCATTAAAACACCGACAAACGTTTTTGAAAGAAGAAAATAAAATAATCAAATCAAACGGTTACCGCGTATAGATTTTTTTTTGGCCAGATTGATAGTAATTGTAGTCGAACGCTTCTGTATGGCAAATATATAAATTTGTGTGGTAATGACAAATGTACCGGTTATAAGGTGAAACTGATTCATCGTATTAAAAGGAGTCCGTTCGGCTACCGCGATCCATACCATTAAAATAGATAAATATCTGAAAATCTCGTATAACCCAAGTCACAAATTCTTGAGAAAATTAAGAAGAGAAATCACTGTTTGTCAAATTAATAAACAGCTATAAAAAACGTTACTGACTCGATTCCGTCTAATGCCGCTTACTCAGGCAATTTTAGGTATCGTTCTTCATTTTTTTTTAATTCCATATGGCAACATCGAAATGAACATTGAACAAATTTAAGATGAATCAAATGATGTATATCTTTCGAATGTCTAACGGCTGATGGAATATATCACCATTATTGAAGTGCGTACTCGTGTCTCTCACTCTAAACGCTTATTTTCCACAGTGGAAAAGACATTAAAATTGATGTGTACTTGATTAGTAAGCGTTCCCATGATTGGTGGTGAGCCCATAAAAGTCGCTATTAATGCGATAAAATGGTTGGCAAATTCCACGACGCTCATGACTCATTAATTCATAAATGTATCTCTCACAATCTCGCATTGGCTTCGGTTGGTGGGGTTTTCGGTAGCCGATTTGGTTGTCACTGCAATTAATAAATTGATAAAGATTAAGATTGCATAAAGATTCCGTTGAAATGTAAATTGCTCACGACATCAGTGCATGGAGTGGAAAACAAGAGGCACCAAAGAATTAAATGACCTATTTGTTATCACAGCCACTTTTATGCTGTGCCTCATTTTAATTGGATGTGTCCTTAAGAAAAACATATATACATAATTCCCAAATCTTAAATCTCGTTTTCCCAAGAATGTACCTGATTGATGATTTATTCAAGTCTAATTAACTGTAATCCGAAAAACAACGCACAGAGAGAGAGAGAGAACCTCATCATCATTTTATTCTCTTTTTTTATATTCTACTTTTTGTTGTCGTCACTCGGTGGCTCCTTGAGAAAAAAAAAGTCTATGTTATTTTTGTTAAACGATGCGTGTGAGGACGCCAAACAAGTGCAATACGATGTTTGTGATTGCGATATATACATTTTCCCAACCACAAAAAAACATGGCATTATGAGTTCATCTTAAATCTCACAAAATAGTACATAATACAACAAGTGCACTACCGAGAATTTTGTGTTCGTTTTATTTTCGTAATTTGTTTCCATTTTTTTGGTCTTGTGATAGCGTCACATTCTTTTTTTTATGCGAGAGAAAAAAAAAATGATGAAAAGAGAGCAGAGTGTTAACATTTTACGATGATGGATGGTTGAGAACTGAGAACAAGTGTGTTTGAGGTCTTTTTATTGACGCTAATTGGATTACGTGATTCGAATACAAAAAGAGCCTGTCTTTGCAACAAAAACTACACAATTTTTGGGGCGTTTCAGCAAGGTATACAGGTGTTAGTGAATGTCAAATGAGTAGATATGGTCCATTTCGCATAGTATAGAAACACTCTATAAATTCTCTAAATAAAACATATCAAAATCTCGTTCCATTTAAGTCGTAGCTTGATTTTCGATTGAAATCACACCTTCGCTGAAAAGGTAGTAATTAGAGAACTCTGAAAGTGCCGCTGAGAGGTTTCGAATGGTTTAAATGAATCTATCGAAGCAAAGCGGTAGCGCAAAGCATAGTCCAAAATTGATCCACTATATCAAAATAATGGGCTTTGCCCAAGTAAATGAAGAACGATCGTAAATGACTAATGAGTAGTACGAGGATCAACAAGAACTCTCTCTTTCGCCTGAATTCGAATTCAAATGTTACATTTCTTTATGACAATCGAATCCCAAACAGCGATTTAATCATTTGATACTTTTTTTACGATCAAGATTTAACAGGAATTGGTTTTGTGGTGAGTGTGACAGCAGTCACATTGTGAACCATACTGGAATGTGTTAACACGAAGAAATAAACAAAAAAAAAGAAGAAAGAGA